GAGCAAATAATATGAGAAGCTGGGTTCTATGAAGAAAAACGTGGTGTCAGGATTGGAGGAAGACTCATTAACAACCTGTGATATGCAGATGATACAACCAGACTCATCTAGACAGGATGAAAATGCTTCAGTGGAGATTCTACCTTTCCTCCTTCGCTCTGAAACTAAACTCCCTCTTGAAAACTTGTAAGCCAGCCACTTCGTGCCTTTATAGCACCCCCATTTTAGGTATCCAATGTCTAAGTTGCCCTACACATTATCTTTTGACACCAACTCAAATGAGCTTCCATTATGCCACCCTATTAGTCACACTAATTGTTGTTAAGTGTCAAGTCAGTTCCAACTCATAACAACCCAGCATAGAGTTCTCAAGGAACAGCTGGTGGGTTCTCAAGGAGCAGCTGGTAGTTTTTTTTCCAAAGAGACCTTGCAGTCTACTTCTTATCCTACAGTGCCATACAAGAACTTCTAGTCAGACTAGTTTACTGAAATAATACAAAGTTGGCTCAATGTAAATATGTACTCTGTATCAGCTTAGAAATCAAACCTAGTTTTAAGCATTCTATTACATTCTTTTCTATTAATTAGAGAGGCATCTCAATATGAAATCAATTGCTTTTTACCTTTAGCTAATTTATTTTTTCTACATCTAATCTTAGGAAACAAAGATTTTCCTAATGGTAAAGTATTACCTTATTGCATATAAAACTGTCCACAAAATCTCTGTAAATATAACTTACAGTTATAAGACAAACAGGATAACTATAATATAGGGTCTACACTAAATATATTTAGCGTTTCAAGATCATGTTTTATTCATTTGTACCATTTCAGATGGGAAGACTTAAGTTAAGGTCAAATTCCAGTGAAAAAAAGTACTGAGTACCTATTATAGATCAGGTGTACTGGTGCTAAAGTCATTGGATAAATTACCAAATCAAAGTCAAAACATACATTTCTAACTTTTGGAGCACAAGTGCATTTATACCATACTCCTTTACTGAAGAAAATTGTCTTAGTGATTTCATATATAACGAATTATCCAACATTTCTGATGAAATTAAGACTTCAAATCGTTTTTCCAAAATATAATATATAGACATCTAAGTACAAAAAATTTTTTTACCACATCATTCACAATAGTTCCAAGTATTACATGATGTCACCAATATGAAACTGAGTCCTGGTATGGTTCTGTAGGATAAGCTCTTGACCACTAGGTCAGTTTAAACTGCAAAGTCAGAAACCCTATACAGGGTTGCTATGAATCAGAACCGAATAGATGGCACATAACAAAAACAACAAATAGGAAATACCTAGACTATTCAAATGTATAGGGATCAGAGTTTAATAGTGGTTACCAAGGGTATGAAAGAGAGAGAAAAAGGTAAGCATTGTTTAGAAAGCACTGATTCTGTTTATGGTGAGGAAAAATTTAGTAGTGGAGATTTGTGATGATTGCACAACGTAATTGCATAACTGGTATAACTGGTTTCACTAAATTTGTTGTTAAGTGTCGTCGGGTCATTTCCGACTCATAGCGACCATATATAGGGTTTCCCAGGAGCAGCTGGTGAGCTTGAACTGCTGACCTTGCAGTTCAAACAACTTTGCAGTCCAGTGCATTAACCCACAGTAAAATACCTGGACTCCTTCACTAAACAGTAAAAATAAAAAATGTTGAATTGGCAAATACAATTTTATACAAATTTCTAAAACAATAAAAACTTATATTAAAGCTCCTAAATTACTGAGGTCACTTTTATAAATTATAAATAAACTGATACATGCTAAATTCCTCTTGCTGTTATGTAATGTTAGGTTGATATTCCATGCATAGTGACCCCACATGTCATAGCAAAAGTGCCCCCCAGAGTTTTCTAGGCTGTAATTTTTGTGGGAGATGACTATCAATGTCTTTCTCTCATGAGGCTACTGGGTGGGTTCAAACCACCAATATTTTGATTAGCAGTTGTGCCACCAGGGTTTCTTAGATGCAAGCTACAGCTTTGTTGTTGTGTGCTGCTGAGTCAATACTGATTCATAGTGAGGCTATAGGGTTTCCTAGGCTCTCATTTTTAGAGAAGATCACCAGGTCTCTTCTCCTAAGGAGTAAGCTGGTGGGTCAAAACTGCATCATCATGGCCCCTTAACTACAGTTTTAACATAGTAAATGCTAAGATAATGCTGTTTTTCAGCAATACAAGGGTCTTCAAAAAGTTCATGGAAAATGTAATTATAAGACAATGGAATTTTTCCACAAATTTTTTCAAACCTCCTTGGTACCATGTCCAAAATGCTGTAGAAATGAAACCCACTTTCCAAATTTCTAGACTGAAATGCCATCTGTACAAATGACCAAACTTTATCTGTTTTCTATGCTTCAGACATTTTTCATGGGAAAGGGAAAATGTACCTTTCCATGACAGCCAGGCATTCCTTTCTCCAGGTAAATCGACTACCCCGTCTTAGTCGGAAGGTGCCAGATGTGGCAGATACTGGGGGAGGTGTTTGTCTCCATTCTGGGTCCTCTATTGGGATGGGAGCAGGTCTCATACTTAGTGTAGCCCCTGAAATAAACATGGAATTTTTAGTGAGTGTCTTGCATTTTCTTAAAATAAATATGAAAAATATATGATGAACTCAAGAATAATAAACTTTTGTCCTTTCATTGAACATGCAGGCCTAGTACATTTGATATTTATATTGAATAATATTTGTCCAAAGTAAAAATCCAAGTTGTTTTTAACCAATAATTCTTCCTTAAAAAGTCTATTATCAATAAAGTATTTAAAATATATCATTTTATCCAGTTTGTCATTTGCCTTATTTTACTTTTTCAGTTTATCAAATCATGAAATTCATCTCCTTATGTGAATAGGGGAGTATGATCTTTGGCCTACTAACTTCCTTCCTTTGAAAAAGCATTTCTCTTGAAATACCTTCTTGACAGTTTCAAACATTTATAACAATATGCCCTATATATTCAAAACCGTTCGTTATTGCTGAAAGCAATCTCTGATGTTGAACAAATGGAGCACTTAACGAACACAGGTTAAACAAATTAAAATAACACTAACTGTTGTTAAGTTCTTGAAGGAAAAATGAAGTAGAGCATCAAAGACTGTACCTGATATGCTTTGAGTCAACTAAATTAGATCTCCATAGATCTACTAATTGTTGATAAAATACTATTTTCTGTTACTTCCTTAGTAAGATTTCAATGAAAAAGAAATGTGCAATTGAGTTACATTAATCATTCACACTTTTCTCAAGCAACTTGATGCATTTATTTATTCACAGTACATTTATTGAAACCCTTTCATATGGATATTCTAAGTTCTACTGATGTTAGGTGTCCTGGAATTGGTTCAGGCTCATAGTGACCGTATGCACAACTGAACATAACACTGCCTGTTTCTATGCCATCCTCCCAATTGTTTTGTTTGAGCCGATCATTGCTGCCATCTTGTTGGGGTTCTTACTCTTTTTCGTTGATCCTCAATTTTACCAAGCATGATGTCAATCTCCAGGAACTGGACCCTCCTAACCTCATGTCCAAAGTACAAGAGATGAAGTCTCGCCACTGTCACTTCTAAGGAACTTTCTGGCTGTACCTCTTCCAAGACAGACTTGTTTGTTCTTCTGGCAGTCCATGGTACTTTCAATATTTTTCAAGACTATAACTCAAATGTAATTTATGGTCTTCCTTATTTACTCTCCAACTTTTATATACATATGAGGCTACTGAAAATCCTATGGCTTGGGTAAGATGCACTTTAGCATTTATAGTGACCTTTTTGCTCTTTAACACTCTGTTATTGTTGAGTGCCCCTGAGTTGGTTCCAACTGCCAACCTTGCAGTTCAAATTGACTTTGCAGTCCAGCACATGAACCCACAGCACCACAAGTGATACAGTGGGACCATGCAAATATGGTATATAGGACTCTAAATCTGGGATTGTTTAATTTTGTCTTTCAGATAGGTTTAAAAGGAGCCACAACAGAAACAGAGATGGAAGATCGCAAAACCATCAAGAAGGAAGATCATTACAGAGACAGTCACATGGAGAGACAGAGCAGCTGCAGGCACTAGGCTCACAGACTGAGGCAGAGGCCAAGTGGCCACATGGCTGAGAGGCCGAAAACAAGAGTGAGGCATGCTTGCAGTATGGCAGACAAGTGATGTACCTGACTGGAGAACTGCTGCCTCTTGAATTGGTTTTGATCCTAGAAGTTAATTTCCCTAATAAACCCCATAATAGTATTATTATGAGTTTTGCGTGGCCATTGCAATGGATTAACGAACCTAGATGTGAAGCAGAGAGTGCAGTGGGAAGGATGGTCGATGTCAGAGTAGGGCAAAGAAGGTGGTAGGGTGGAAGGCTGTCTGGTCTCCACATTATAGGAATACAGTCTTGGGCTGATTTTGAATTTGATTCTCTTTACCTCTTGTGAAGTCAGACATGGTCCCCCATTTGGACTTTGCATACTCTAAAGAGGTCTTTTACAACAGATTTGCCTAGTGCAATATGTTATCTGATTTCTTGACTATTGCTTTTCTGAGCACTGATTTTTGAGCCAAGCAAAATGAAGTCTTTGGCGATTTCAATCTTCTCTTCTTGTATCATGATGTTCTTTACTGATCCAGTTGTGAGGATTTTCATTTTCTTTAAAAGACAATGCTGCATTGCTTCTTTGCTAAGTGCCACTGAATCAGTTCTGACTCAGTTCATAACAACCTTGAGGTCCAGTGCTTATTCTATATAGTGTAGGACTTTCTTAATAGATTATAGCATAAAAATGACTTTCATATATGCTGGGAAACCAAAACACTTTGGTCACTCACTTTATTGTAATATTTGCTTTACTGTAGTAGTTTGGAACCAAAAGTGTAATATCTTCAAAATATGATCATACTTAACTAATACCACACAACACATTACTATGAATATTATTAGTTACTTATATTGAGCATCTCTTTCTGTCTGCTGGACATCATATATATTTTCCTGATTTTTAAAAAATACTTTTGTCTTCTTTTCTTTGGGGTTATTCAAATTATTTTAAATGGTGTATGGAAATCATAATGACTGCTAGCCATATACATTGTTATTATTTTTTTCCAGTTTGACATCTTTTATATTAAGTTATGGTGTTTTTCCCCATCTTAATTTTTACATAATAAAAAAAGTCAGTCATTATTTCATGATTTATGGATTTTTGTTATCACTCAGAATATTTTGACAGTTTTCATTTATATATGTAAATCCTTAAAATTTTATATATATATATGCCTTCTGGTGTGGCTCTGTGGATCAGCACTGCACTGTAAACAACAAGGTGAGCAGTTCAAACTTACCAGCTGCTCCTCCAAAACCCTACACATGATCATTATGAGTTGGAACTGACTCAATGGCACTTAATAACAACAATGTATATGTAATTCCCATTTAGGTGTGGCTGTAAAGTATATATTTAGCTTTGTTTTTAAATGGACTTTTGTCACCATACAGTGCTTTAGAGATTCATGGTTTAAATAAGGGTCAGCAAACTAAGGCCTGATGCTATAGTCCAGTGTTTTGGAATAATCGTGTACACTCATGTACATAAAGGGTAGAGTGGTTTTTGTAATATAGTGGCAGAGATGAGTAATTGTGACAATCACATAGCCCACAAAGCCTAGAGGACTATCTGTCCTTTTGCAGGAAAAGTCAGAATCAGTTTGCTGATTCCTGGCTTTAAAACGTTGCTGGTCTATTGACACTGAAACTCTAAACTGAAACCTTTCTTAAATGGATCATTCAGACAAAAAAATTAGGGAATTAGGACTAAGACTAATTCAAAGTTAACAAATTTAGTTGTAAGCACGAATTTGGTGGCTAGAGGGTTTAAAAGTCTTTGGTTTAGTATGACCATGAATGCAAGCAGGATTTACAACCTAGCAGGGGTTTTATAATTACCCATGTAATACAAAATTTGTTCTACAGTCAAGGCAAAAAGAGAAAAGACACAGCCAAGCTGCTATCACAATTGAATAAGAGGGAGGTGAAAATAAACTGGGAAAGGTAGTAGTAGGTCCTCTAATGCAAAGCCTAGTTCTTGTAAAAGAACAGAGAGTTTCGGGGTTTGAGCGAGTGGACTGTGGGGAAGAGGCCAATGAATTACAACTAGTAAGTCACACTGACAACTGTGGCATGTATTATTGGTAAGTAAGAGGGATACATTGGTACAAATAGAACAGATAATACAGAGAATATTCATGGAATCACCTTTTCTTTTGCCTGGTGAAAATGTTTATTAGGTTTTTGTCAATTCCCATGTACCACATTGTTGCTATTGTTAAGTAGAATCAGTAATAAATTCAATGATGTGATAATTTAGAATATTTTAGATGATTTTTTTGCTAAAGTTACATTAATGAACATTAAAAAAAAAGACATGGAAAAGTAATCAAAAGATTGAAGGAAATAAGTCAATTAGTAACAGAAGTCAATTAGTAACAGTGGTTCTTTCTTAGTACCGAAGGTTATGAATATTGTTATTATGTTTCTTTATAACATTTTGTATTTTTCAGATTTTCAAAAAGAAAGAAAATGACATGAAATGAAACTGATCAGGAAGAAAAACAAAGAGGGAGTAAAAGGAAGGAAGAAAAGAGAGAAGTAAATAGCAGCCTGATTACTCTGAAAGAAATCAAGATATTTATGCACTGAAGGTAGAAACTGAAAATTTTAAATTATAAGCATATTTAATTGAAAATGATATGATCACTTTAATTTTTAAGCATTTTTTCCTTGCTCCTTTTTCCTCTTCAATGCAGCAGTAGCTAAAAATAGTTCAAGAAACACTGTGGAAACACTCCAACAAACACAGATTTGTTTTAGAAACCTTACTTCATCTTGTTTCAGCTCAGAAGTTGAAGAGCCAGGAATACCCAAGGATAGGTTGAAAACTGACTCCGACAGGAAAATTGAGATGCTCTAATATAAGAATACTGTATATATGACATAAAAATTCCTTTGAAATAAAATACAGGCTTTTAGATATGCTAAAAATTCTTACTGGAAAATTATTCTACCTATTTTCTTTACAGAAACCTTTTATTCATATCATATCTAGACTCCTATTAAAAAAGAATTTTGCACATTCATATAGCAAATATAAACAAGAGCATAAAAATATTTCATAAGTGGCTTATATATTTATAAATTTTGATAAACGTTTTCTTTGTACATCTGTGAGCCTTCAACAATCAGCTAATAAAATATGTCTTAGTGTGGTGCTGTAGGATAATGCTCTGAACTGCAAGGTCAGTTTGAACTGCAAGGTTGGGTGTTCAAACCCACTAGTGCTTCTTGGAAATCCTATACAGGACTGCTATGGGTCAGAATTGACTCAACAGCGCTTAACAACAGTAACAATCCAAGCATGTCAATTCAGTTCCATAGAAATTAAATTCTCCAATAGTAATTTTTCATCTTTTTCCAGGTTATTCACATGATTTCCTTGAGGCTCTGACACTGCAACAGTGAAGAATGAGGTATTACTTCTGATCTCAACATTTACT